TACTCAGCAGGATGAAGCAGGAGGATTGAGCCTATGAGTTTGAGGCTAGCCTATAGGCAACACAAAGAGACCCTGGAGATGGGGGTGGGGGTGGCAAATAGGGTGTCAACCAAAGTTACATTCCCTTAGTGGGGTTACTAGCCAAGAGCAGAAATATCTTTGAAGGGGTACATGGTACATTTGTGGAAGCTTTTTTTGGTCTTTTTTTTGAGACAGGGTCTCTCTGTAGCCCCAGCTGGCCTGGACCTCCTATGTAGACCAAGCTGGCCTCAAACTCACAAAGATTCACCTGCCTCTGCCTCCCAAGTGCTGGGATTAAAGGCGTGCACCACCATGCCTGGCTCCTTTTCCTGGGGTCTTTTTTTTTTTTTTTTCTTTTCCAGACAGGGTCTCCCTGTAGCCCCCACTGGCCTGGAACTCACTATGTAGACCAGGCTGGCCTCAAACTCACAGAGATCCACCTGCCTCTGCCTCCCCCTTTAACCCCCCTGAGTGCTGGCAGTAAAGGTATGTGCTACCATGCTCTTCTCTTGGCAGGGTCTTTATTTGCAAATTTTAGATATTTTTTTCAGCATATTTGTTACAGAAACATGTTTGCTTATATATTCCTAATAACTATAGCAACCACATCTAAGGTGCTTACTGTATGCAAGAATGCATTTGACCCTCCCAGTAGTCCTGAGGACTCCAGCTTTGAGGATACCTGGCACAGAGTTACAGGACTGCTCAGCTCCTACAGTTAGAGGCTGGCAGGGACCAAGAATGAGACCCAGAAGTGGTCTCCAGAGCACTGGCCCACACTGCCTTCTTGGCGCATTCTTGCAAGGAAGCAGTCATTTTCTCTAGAAAAGGATGGAGCAGTGAGACGTGCATGGGGGGGTGGTTTCAAGATATCTTTTTGAACCCTTTGATTAAAAACAGAAACTCTGTACTTTTAGAATAGTTTAAGATTTATGGGAAAGTTGTGATGATTGTGCACAAATATCTCAGTTTTCCCTATTGTGAGTGTGTTTATTGCAATGAAAGAGCTTTGATTAACACATTACTATCATGATCAACTACAGTCCATAACAGATTCACAGCTCCTTAGTTTTTGCCCAATCTCTCTCTCTACCCCAGGACTGAATCCAGAAGGACATCTCGTTGTCATCACTGCTCTGGGTTCTCTGACTGTGAACATTTCCCAGGCTTTCTTTGTTGCTGACAGTTCTATCAGTTTGAGTAGCTTTAGTCCATCTACTTTGTGGCTGTCCTTCAGAGGGACTTACTCTCATATTCTCTCTCTCTCTCTCTCTCTCTCTCTCTCTCTCTCTCTCTCTCAACTAGGTCTTGCTGTATAGCCTGAGGCTGTTTTTCTTATGTTTAGCCTGAGGTTCTGGGTTTGGGTTTTCAGGAGGAAGAGCATGGACAGAGGCCAGTTCTCATCAGATCGCACTGAAGGACTTCCTGTGACTACAGCCTGTCACTGTTGTTGATCAGTTGGCTGAGGTATTGCCAGGTTTCTCTTGTGAAATTGTTCTTTTCCGCCTATGCTGGTTAGTTTTGGTCAACTTGACACAAACTAGAGACACTGGGAAGACAGAACCTCAATTGAGGAATTTCCTCAATCATACTGACCTGTGGGCATGTCTGTGGGGCATTTTCATAATTGCTAATTGGTGTAGGAGGGCCCAGCCCACTGTGGATGATACCATCCCTGGGCAGGCGGGCCTGGACTGTTTAAGAAAGGAAGTTGAGCAGGCCAGAGAAGCAAGTTAGTAAGCAAGTATTCTGTAATCTCTGCTTCAGTTCGTGCCTCCAGACTCCTGCCTTGAGCTCCTGCCCCGACTTCCCTCCGTGATGAACGATTACCTAGAAGTGGATACTGAAATAAGCCCTTTCCTCCCCAACTTGCTTTTTTGGTCATGGCACTTATTACAATGACACACAGCAAACTAGAACACCCCCTTTCTGTCCTCTCTGAAGGGAGGACTCACACCCAGCAGGCAGGAGCCATGCCTTAGCTCCTTGGGGGTAGAGTCTCAACAGAAATTATTTGGAATTCTTCTGCACAGGGCATTCTGATCATTTTAATCATTAATAAATTATTTTAAATTACAAAAACAAATTACTCAGGGCTGGAGAGAAGGCTTAGCTGTTAAGAGCACTGACTGTTCTTGCAGAGAATCCAGATTCAATTCCCAGCACGTACATAGTGGCTAACAACTGTCTGTAACTCCAGTTCCAGGGGAATCCAAAACCTTCTTCTGATCTCCATGGGCACTGCACAGTATGGATGCACTTACACACATGCAGGCAATACACTCATTGCACAATATGGGTGCACTTATACATGCAGGCAATACTTTCATATGCACAAAAAATAAAAAAAGATAAATTACTCTTTAAATAGGAACATAAACTCACATACCCAAAGCTGAAATAACTAAGGCCAGATAGAGCCCGTTTCTCCCAGAGCTCTCTGAAGGCAGCTATAGGGGCTGCAATGGACTCAACAAAGCATTTGTTTCTCTTGCTTCAGAACCCACATCTATTGAATGGAGAGGCATTAGGTGATATGGAGAAAGGGTTCTGCAAACTGTGAAGCGCTGCCAAGAGGGCAGGTATTAAAGAAGGTCCTTGGGAACTGAGCTTGACTGAGCTGCTTCAGGGCCTCTGGAACTAGAGATTATTTTTCCTCCTCACCCAGTGTCGAAATCACAGCACACAATACCAGCCTTGGCGTTGGGCATTTGGGCAGGAAGAGAAACTACATCTACAACCTAGGATGGTCATGGTGGAAGAATGCTGTGGCCCTAGACCTTGGGCAAGTTATTTGAACCTTCTGAGCCAGACCAGCTGGGGCTACAGGGAGACCCTGTCTCGAAAAGAAAAGAAGAGAAGGGGAGGGGACGGGAGGGGAGGGGAGGAGAAAAATGAATGGACATGAAGTTTGAGCCACACCTGTTTTCTGTCATTTCTCTCCTATTTGACCTTCAAAGCCTTCCTATTGCACACTGGAGGAAACCGAGGCTATAACCATTAAGTGACTGGCCAAATGGCACCAGCTGGTAAGTGGCAAAGTGGCTGGAGCTTAGAGCTCAGGTCTGTGAGGCTCCAAAGCCTTCCAGTACAACACGTTGCCTCTGCTCACAGCCAGGCTTCCTCTCATTCTTCAGCCTGCCCGTCCTTCCTCCCACCTGCTCAGGAATAACCCTGTATCTGTAGCATTCCCTCTGTCCTGACCGAACAGGGGGGTGGGTAGGAGGTTGCAGTGGTTTCTGCAAAGGGAATTTCCCCACCCTGGTGTGTCTTATACCCCCTCTGATACCTGGCCATCTCCTGGGAAGCTAGGCCCCAGGCCTTCCTCCAGAAGGCCCTCCTCCCACCAAGCTTTATCTCTCCAATCCCTTAACAGCTCCTGACAACAGCCAGCCTTCCTACTCCCTAAAGTCCTTCAGGTGCAGCACAGAGAGAAGTCTACTTTGCTCTGCCTGTATCTCCCACAGTCAACTTCCGCCTCTGACATCCCAGACAGCTCATCTCATCCCAGCTCCTGAGGCTCCCACAATGGGTCCATGTCAGTAGAGGCTGAGAAAATACAAGCCATAGCAAAGCCTTTGAGACCAGTAGACCCCAGTTCTATCCCGGCCCTGCCTCTCC